CTTCTTGGTATCAATCCACCAGCTCTTGGTCATGTTTGCCAGGTACCTCAAGCACAAGAAGTACAAGTGAACGAGGAGCCATTGGATTTCCTTCTCCTGAGATTCCGACTGGTCCAACTCGAAAGACCGAATATCGAACTTAGACGCGTCCACTATCTTTTGGTGAGACTGCTGGAGGAAGTCGAATGTGAATTCCAACAGTGGAATCAAAACATCATTCTCCTTGATGCTTGATACGTAGTTCTCTTGCACAGCAAATGACTGTTTTAGTCGTTAGCCATGGTATAATTCCAATAGGCACTGGCGGATATACGTACTGCGTTGGCGAAGTGATCGAAAACTATCTTCCAGCTTAAAAGATATGAGCGTATCTCCGACCAGACCTTGTCATCGCCATACGATAAAGATATCGAATCCATAGTGGGCGCTTCGAGCAACAGAGACAGGAGCTCATCGGGTAATTTAACGGTCGTCTTCGACAATGCCACATCAAAAGAAATTTGCTCTTGAATACTTGGAATATACCGGTGTAGAACAGTATAGGCGGCGCGTTGCACAGTGTGGCTCTGCGCAGTCAGAAGTGGGAAGATCCTGCTCACGTCTTCGAGGCTCTCAATTGATATACTGTTGATCAGTCGGCACAGGAGATCTACGGTGACGTCGCGAGGTTGGTAGAAGGTAATAGAAGAGTCTGTTTCATTAGCTCAATATGTCCATCCATCATCAAGCATATACTAACCAAATTCCTTGATCGTTGTTGTCAAGTCATTGAACAACGCTGCCTTTCGATCTGACCAAGCGTCTTTCACATCATCGTTGCTATCTTCATTGCCTACAATAGATTTCAGGCGAGCAAAAAGTCTGAAGGATGCTAGCAGAACCGGCAAAGCTTCATCGCTGCCATTGGCTTCCCTCCAAGTTGTGCTGAGAGCATCCATGCAATCCTCCCAGTGAGAGCCATACATCTCATGAATGCAAGGTAACACAAATGACAAGGTCTGCAATACCTCAGATTTGACACTAAGGGAGATATTCTCTGACTGCAGGCATTGTACGAGGTGCTTGACCAGAAAGACGACGCGCTGGGTCGGGATCGACTCGATCACTTCTTCCGATCCTACTACGAGAAGGTTAAGCAGTGATAGCTTTCGAAGGCCTATACACAATATTAGCATGCACAAATAATGAAAGTATTTTTCTCACTAACCATCTTTTCGCTCATCATGAGGTCTCAATCCTGTGGATTCTGCGACAAGCTCATTGCATAGCCGTGTCCCCGCGGGGTTCGAGAGGATGGAGTGTCGCAAGATAGCCACCCAAGACGCCGAGCGGATCGCATTTGCTGTTCGCACTTCCTTACAAAGTTTGGCAACTTCTTCCGATGACTTGGAGTTGGCCGAGTCCTGACCCTCCATAATCTTTACAAAAGCCTCGCCAACTCGGTAGTCAACAGTAGACGTTCCAGTTAAGCTTTCGAGTTTGCTTTCCCAAAATGCAGTAATTGATGGTGCAGCGGATGCTTCCAAATGTGCCCATCTATTGATCAAACTGCGGCCATCGTTGACAATTTCCATATACTCTTCTCGTTGCTCGGGCAGTAGTACTCCAGTTATGCCATTGCAATTGTCGATGCTCAAATCATCGTCAATCAGCTGCACAGCTAGAGGCAAGCAGTAGAACAGAGTTTGAAGCTCTTCTGCACCAAGCTGACTCGTGATATCAGAGGATGACAGAGTTCTAATAGTGAAATAGGCGAGTCGGAGAGCAGACGAACAATGGCTGGAGTCGCGTGGGACCGTCTCATAGCGCCTTCTAGACTCGTCTGATATATGGCGGTCGATGATATGAACTGTCCCTTTAAGCGGACTTGTAATGGCGGTTGATAGCCGGGGAGGGAGTGCAAGGAAGGGATCGAGCGCATCTTTCCAATTTTGACGAGAAGGTAGAATTTCCTTTACCACTTTTTTGAGATCCTCGGGCTTGGTGTTATGCAAAAGTTCTTCCGTAACACTCAATAAAGACCCAATCCTGTTTATATTAGCCAATCCATCCTTTTCACTTATAGGCAAAGACACTCACGAGAGAGATTCCTCGTTTACGTTATTGAAATTGTGCTGCAGAATTTCAAAAGTTGACCTAGCACTTGTTTCACTAACTGCTGATTCCTTTACTCTTCTAGTTAATGACTCCGCAAGACCGGCCACTTCTTCTGATGGCGACTCAGCGAGGAAAAGCAACTTTCCTGTTAATTTCGAACCATGGAGACCACTTTGGAATTCCCTTAGTGCAGTTGGGATGGTAGTTGCAATTTGAGAAACTCCGTGTAAGGTATCGAAGACTTTGTTTCCATCTGATAATGCATCAATGATTGACAAGAATATCGACTCTGTGAGTTCGCCATGAGATGTTTGGTTCTGGAGCACCGCAATCACAATCGACCAGTGTAGAGAGCTACCTCTACAGGCCCTGTCTAAAGCACGTGCGATCAGAGAACCAAGACCACTCTTCTCATCTACTTCCTTGAAATCAAGTGTAGAGAGGAGTTTCTGAACAGCATGCGCATTTGACGACTCGGGTTCAGACTGTGCTACCCTTTCAACGACTTTCTCGAAACTTGGGCCAAATCCATCCCATGAACGACAAGACAAGATGATAGAGATTAAACGATCGGCAGATGGCGAAGACAAAAGTTCTGGGGCATCCTCCTGGACAAACCTCAATAGCTCCTGGGAGTGTTGTGCAATCTGTGCGACTTTCTGAACCATTCCTTCAACAACTGCAGCTGCTCCATACGGCTTGCCGTTTCGGGTTCGTAGAACCTCCAAACAGTGTCCAAGCAGCCCCACGTTTGTGTCCTCAAAGGCTTTCAGCAGCTTGGATTCGCGGTCCGTATCTGCTACACGTGAAAGCACCGAAGCCTCTAAAGCAAGAAACCGTTCGGCCTGTGCACATACTGCGTCTTGTGACGACCTGAAGTCCTTCGACTGCTCTGGAGATGAAAGCTTTACAGCTTCAAGCAGGTTGTCCGACAGCTCAGCCCACAATTTATGCAACTCTCCTTCGTGGTTATGCGTGGCTAAAACATCAAGATAATCAGCGCAGAGAGCGTCGGCTGACTGAGCAGGAAGCTCCCACTCAGAACGATCTTGCTCAGGCTTGACGTATTGGATTATAAATGGAGATAGCCGTTCGTGTAGAAAGGGTTCTTGGTCAATTTGGGGAAGCTTATTTGTGAGCCACATTCCAGTGTCAATATAAGCTTTCCAACCAACTGCGCGATTCTGTCGAGGTTCATCTCTGGAGTTCAATCCGTCCTGGAAGGATTGAGTCAATTTTGTGGCGCTTGACAATTCAACACTGTCTTCATTTGTGGATTTCGCATCAACCTTTGCTAAAGTCTGCGAGGGGATAACCTGTAATAGTTCGTATAGGTTTTGCCAGAAGGAGGCTAGACCACCCTCCGAACCTTTTTGGATATACTGAATGAGTCTTTTAGAGGAAGAAGACTTGCCCGTATAGTCGTCAGTCCATAACTGAGGCCTTGCAGCTGTCACCTGCAGCAGCAATGCGGATAGGTCCGAGGAAGATCCTAGTTGAGATATATGCAAGGATTTGCCGATGATAGCGGCACTGATGAGCTTCCAGTCAAGCTGCTCTGGGTCTTGAGAGACAGCGGATCGAAGGAGGACATAGACTGATCTGCGAACGAAAGGATCATCATGATAACATAAGGACCATAACGATTTACTACCCAAAAGGCTTTCAATCGTAGCTATATCCTTCTCAAGAACTTCGCGTGTCGAATTTCCTGCATTGACACCCGGTCAGAACATTTACAGGGGGTTATAGGGTGTATAGAAGCGCACCTATAATTCGATTAAATAGTAAAACCGCAGTTCCTACAACGCGAGCATACTTCGCTTCTGCATCATCAGACTTGACAGTCCTCTCGTCGCTAAGAGTCTGGGGAGTCTGCTGAAGAATAACATCATCTACAAAATCAAGAATAGAACTCTGGTAGATCTTCCACACGCTGTTTCTCTTCTCTTCAGTTGAGAAAACCCGTGTGAAGGACTCAAATGCGGACCGATGAACCATTCGATCATTGTCATAGAGTCCTGCAAGCCATGCCCCAATTACTTTCGGTAAGAAACGGGCAATCCGCTTCCCCACTAGAGAAGCAATAGATCCTTGTGTGGAATGAGCCGTTTGCCTCACTCTACGAGACAGATCAATCGATGCTCTGGGGTAAATTTTAATCTGCCAAGGAACAGAATCTAATCAACATATTACCCCAATCCGCATGGTGTAGGTGCAGACATACCCAGGCTTCCAGGAAACCATCATCGAGAGTCCCACTGCGACTTTCTACAGTAGAAACATAATCCCTCAAGTCATCCAGTGCTTTTGTCCTCGTTACTTCATCTTTCTTCAGGAAGTTCTTGAAAGCAATTGCCAATTGTGCTTCATATATCTGCGAAAGGTCCGGCGGCTCAGCCACATAAGTAAGAGACGACGGTTCCCTCCCGGAACCAGAGAAAGAGCTGGAGAATCCACCAAAGGAACCAAAGGTGCTAGCAGCGCGGCTGCTTGATGCCTGAGACTTGAACTTTTTACTCATAATAAATGTGGGGTAAGTGGGATGTGAATCAGATCAAAGGAGTGAACAAAAGGTAGAAAGGGAGAAGGGACAAAATGAAAGGAAGGGAAGAATAAGAGTGCAGGTCCCAGGTCACTCAGATACAAAGAAATCAACAACTTCCCGGCCCGAATTATGGCTTTTACAGTGAGAGATGGCCTCAATATCAATTACTTCAAAGCGGGCTTGATAATCGGCGTCCATATCGGGACAGGTCACGTGGTATAGTGTCATCATGTCCCGATAAGGAAAAGTTCGTCGCGAAGTCTGGCCGCGGCCTTAACTCCGTCTTAAGTTGTAAGCTCGTCCGAGAGCTTCCTTCTGTGTAGCCCAACTTGGAGCACGTCGCTCAGTCCTCACAATGAAATTTTTCATTGAGTAAGTGCGCCGTATTGAAGCTCTTTCCAGTCAAATTTTAACCTTCCAACTTCTATCAATAGTGACCTTCCTGTCCTTTTCCCGTATCCTCGTATATACCCCGAACAATATGCCTACATGTGCGACCTCAAGAAGACCCTCGATGCCGGGGGTCACTGTGTCCTGGAAATGCCCTCGGGCACCGGGAAAACAGTTTCTTTGTTGTCCTTGATTGTCGCCTATCAGATGCATTATCCAGAGCATAGAAAGCTTATCTACTGCTCTCGAACCATGTCGGAAATCGAGAAAGCTTTGGCAGAGCTAAAGGCGCTAATGAAATTTCGCACTCAACAACTCGGGTACACTGAGGACTTTCGTGCTTTGGGGCTTACTAGTCGAAAGAACTTGTGTCTGCATCCGTCTGTCAAAAGGGAGAAAAGTGGCACAATCGTTGATGCCAGGTGCAGGAGCTTAACGGCTGGCTTTGTCAAAGAAAAAAAAGAAAGAGGCGAAGACGTTGAGCTCTGTGTCTACCATGAGGTATGCAAAGACTGGCCGATAATCGATGAACTGATTTGTGACTTGGTATAGAACCTTGACCTCCTCGAACCGCACAACCTTGTACCTCCAGGCGTTTTCACCCTCGACGGACTACTCAAATACGGCGAAGACCACAAACAATGTCCCTATTTCTCTGCACGGCGGATGATGCCATTCTGCAACGTCATAATATACTCCTATCACTATCTTCTCGATCCCAAAATTGCAGAGCGAGTATCTCGGGAATTCTCGAAAGACTGTATAGTGGTCTTCGACGAGGCACATAACATCGATAACGTCTGCATCGAATCACTTAGTATCGATATAACGGAGGATTCGCTGCGGAAAGCCACCAGGGGAGCAAATAACTTGGAACGGAGGATTAATGAGATGAAGAGTTCGGATGCGGAGAAACTACAAAGTGAATATTCCAAGCTCGTTGAGGGTCTGCGTGAAGCAGAGCAAGCCAGGGAAGAGGATCAGTTTATCTCAAATCCTGTCCTCCCTGCCGATCTGCTCAAGGAAGCCGTACCGGGCAATATACGCCGAGCGGAGCACTTCATCTCCTTCCTAAAAAGATTCATCGAATACCTTAAGACTCGAATGAAAGTCACTCATACCATCTCCGAAACACCTCCCTCGTTCTTAACTCATGTTAAAGACTTGACCTATATCGAGCGAAAACCTTTGCGATTCTGCGCCGAGCGGCTAACGTCCCTGGTGCGGACGTTGGAGCTCATCAACATAGAAGACTATCAACCGCTACAGGAAGTGGCGACATTTGCGACGTTGGTCTCGACATATGACAAAGGGTTTCTCCTAATTCTAGAACCTTTTGAATCAGAGGCAGCGACAGTTCCGAACCCTGTGTTGCATTTTACCTGCTTGGACGCCGCTATCGCTATCAAGCCTGTGTTCGAACGATTCAGTTCCGTCATTATCACTTCCGGAACTCTATCACCTCTTGAGATGTATCCCAAGATGCTCGGATTCACAACTGTCATGCAAGAGTCATACAGCATGACACTCGCACGACGTTCTTTCTTACCCATGGTCGTTACTCGTGGCTCAGATCAAGCACAAATTTCCTCCTCATTCCAGATACGTAATGACCCGGGTGTGGTACGTAATTACGGGAACATTGTCCTAGAATTCTCGCGAATTACACCAGATGGTATCGTCGTTTTCTTCCCTTCATACTTGTATATGGAGTCCATCATCAGTATGTGGCAAGGCATGGGCATCTTGGATTCTATATGGAACTACAAGTTGATTCTTGTCGAGACACCGGATGCGCAGGAGTCTTCATTGGCGCTGGAGACATATCGAACAGCTTGCTGCAATGGAAGGGGAGCCATCTTAATGTGCGTCGCCCGAGGAAAGGTCTCCGAAGGTATTGATTTTGACCATCACTATGGCCGTGCCGTGATATGCATTGGTGTGCCATTCCAATACACCGAATCAAGGATATTAAAAGCGCGCCTTGAATTTCTTCGAGAAAATTACCGCATTCGAGAGAACGACTTCTTATCTTTCGACGCAATGAGACATGCTGCACAGTGTCTCGGTCGGGTCCTTCGTGGCAAGGATGACTATGGGGTCATGGTTCTCGCTGATAAGCGATTCCAGAAGAAACGAACCCAACTCCCCAAGTGGATCAGTCAGGCCATGCTTGAAAGTGAGACTAACCTCAGTACTGATATGGCCGTGGCCACCGCGAAAAACTTCCTACGCGGCATGGCTCAGCCTTTCAAAGCCAAAGACCAGGACGGTATCTCGACATGGAGCCTGGCAGATTTAGAGCGACATCGAGAGAAGCAGATGCTGGAGGAAGAGAGAGCACAACGAGAAGAACTGGCTCGTAGACATGGCGCAAACGGTACTGCCAATGGTGCTGTCGTCGCCGAGGATGAATTTGACGACGACATTGACGACACCCTCATGATGCTGGATGCACAGTGAAAGCCAACCTGGACAGTATTGTTTGTTTCCATGTTCCGGGCATAGCCATGCACGCCAATACCCCGGGATGTGGACATCGCCAATGATGGTTTCCGGAACTCCATCCAGGCCTTTCTCAGACCGCACAAACAGATCCCCGTGTCCTTCAGTACCCAGTACCCACAATGCATATTTTATTTATGGTGGCGGCCTTCGGGTTGATACTAGATGTTGTATTATAATACGTGCTACCTATCTATGAAGGAACAGGGCATACAAGATCCGGCTGGACGTTCAGGGTGGACAGTTTCTCTTTCCTACCGCTCTTAGTGCCCTCTCCAGTGCTTGTCCCGTTTTAATAGGACAAGAAGTTACATTGAGTCCTTTCCCACTTCGGTAGGGTCAAGCAAACCAAACAAAGGCGATGTGACCTGGACATTCCTAGTACATCCTTACCGAGGCCAGTCATGGTGACCTCTACCCTATATTTAGAAAGCTGTGATGGCAATTGTAGAACAAGGTTCTACAATATTGGTAAGATCAGTACGCGTTTAGAATGTTGCTTCTTATCGGACATCGTATGCCGGGATATGGACGAGTGAGCAAAACCGCCCATCCGGAAAAGTCAACCGGATTGTAAGCCCTATTACCTCATTTCAGATAGAGGGACTTCTTAAAGGGATCAGGACCACCCTGACTACTTAATCAACCAAAGACCTTCCAATTTCCATAGCCAAGGATACGTTGCATGTTTACGAAAAAGCACTTTGAGCGCTCCACCCGAGCTGCCCAAACAACACGAGGATTCAGGTAGGCTGGATTCGGGTGCTGAACGTTATCTGAAAAGAAAAAAACATTCTCTATTCATGTATTCTATCATGAATGGTTGCTCTAGAAGAAAATGAAAGACTTTTCTTGATTTCGCTGAGAGAAACTCCAGAAGTCATAGAACACATCAACAAGGAAAATGCATAATAGATACACGTTTGAGTCCACTCATATACAATAAACGACAATATAAGATGCCATACATCACACATACCTACCCATTATGCCACTGGGGCAAGGACATCAAAAGCACCGGTACCAACTGTTCCAACACGGCCAACAACAATTCTACTACTCGGGGACTTGAGGTTATCATAGTCTCTCTCCTGGACAGCGTCCCGGAGGAATCCAACGGTCGTTTCGAAACTCATCTTGGCAAGAGGAGAGGAGCCATCCTTAACAAGACCGTTGCGGTTGAAGGGACGGAAGCCACCAGACTGGGTCATCACATCACCAATCAGGTTCAGATGACGGTTATCCACGGAGATACTGTGACCCTCGAAAACTTCCGTCATTTCACGAACGATGGATGCGCGAGCAGCCTCAACACCATACAGGTTAAGCATATGGTGAATGGAGTTCGTATAGAGGGAATGGGGCTGGATGATGTCCTGGTAATCTCGCATGGCGAGGAGGTTGACACCGTCCGTGATGACATGGGCAGGTTCGCCCTTGATAGGGTCTGCCTCCACGAATGTACAGTTGCCAAGACCAGGGATAGACTGGATGACAGCACTGCGAGCGGCCGCCTCAACCAGAGGGAGGACGAGAAGTTTGGGAGTAGAAATGTCATATTGCAGCTGAATAGTGCACGAGGAGCCCTGGCTCGGGTTGAACTTGAATTGGGTAATCTCGCCGAATTTACCCTTGATATCCTCCTCACGCAACTTGGTGTCTTTGACTTCATCATCCGAGTCGTCATCAGAGGCATCATCCATATCAACATCCCTCGTCTGTTTCTCGCCACTATCCTCAATATCGTCATCGTCGTCAGCATCTTGATCCTGAACCATTTTCTCCTCTTCACCCTCAGGACCTTCGTAGGATACTTGGTTTGAGCGATTCTTAGAACCACTGGCGCGTTTAGCATCGTCGTGATCCTCCTCGTCATCGTCGTCAGCGGGCGCGTCGTCGTCGTCAGCACCCCGAGGAGCTTCTTGAACGGTGCCAACAGAGACACCAATCTCCGGCTGGGCAGTTGAGTAGCTCGACAGTTTCTTTTCATCCTCTCGTCTCTTGAGTTCGGCTCTGGTAAGCTTCACGAGCTTGGGGATGAACTTGTTCTGTAGAGCAATCTGCACATCTTTTGTCTTGATTGCATACTCTGCAGTGTATTCCTCAGGGGGGAAGAATGAGACTTCGATATCATAGACCTTAGCCTTTGTGCTACCAGACGTGATTCTCTCCCTGATTTCAACCTTATCGACAACCTCTGCAATGCTGAGCTTGCTAATAGCCTTGGCGAACCTCTCGGAGTGCTCTTTGGACAGCTCTTCGTTCAAAATCAATGTCATCGTAGGAGTCATAATGTGAGCACTAGCCGTCATCACGATTTCACGTAGACGGGGAATACCCAGCGTCACGTTCTTCGCAGAGTGACCAGCCAAGTGGAAAGTGTTCAAGGTCATTTGAGTTGATGGTTCACCGATAGACTGACCGGCCACAATACCAACGGCTTCACCAGGATCAACCACCGACTTCAGGTACTTCATATTCATCATGTTACCGAATGATTTCTTGCTGAGGATACCTTCAATGTTCTTCTTCTTGTCCTTCAGGAGCTTGTCCGGATTGGCGTCCTCGTACTGAAAAGTATTAGTATACACTGGACAGGAGAATGGATGTTGGTTGATATAAGCATAAGTTTTGTCTTACCTTCTTGACAGCTTGAGCAAACCGCTCGGATGTACTACCCAGGTTACCTCCGGGGTGGTAACGAGACAACACAGGGTCCATAGCATCCACCTTTCCGGTCTTGCGCACCTTCTTCATAGCATCCTTATGCCATTCACCTACCTCCTCATTCTCCAGGGTGTGGAAATCGCTCGAATTGACTTGGGAGATAATGGACTTATAGTTAGATGCCAAGAAGTCGAAGTCTTTGAGGTGAACCTGTTTCGTGATATCCAGGCCGTCTTCTCCGTACAGGAATTGAACGATGGAACCGTCAGTGGCTTCACGGACCGAAGTGTCGTACTCGGCCCTTAAGCCTTCCATGCCCTTGATCAAACAACGTTGCAGATAACCCGAGCGAGAAGTCTTAACAGCAGTATCAATAAGACCTTCACGACCGGCCATGGCGTGGAAGTAATATTCTTGAGGCTTGATACCGGTCAAGAAACGACCACAAACATAACCACCAGCCATAGGATTCGTATCGAAGGCTCTGAACGACGGCAATGTCTTACCGCTGATCATTACAGGCACACGTCGACCTTCCAAAACTTGCTGACCCAGGTTACAAGAAATCAGGTTGGCGTTGACACTTGAACCCTTGGCTCCGGAAATTGTCATCGACTGCATTTGGTTCCACGGGAAAGGCTTGACCAGACCTCCTGGAAGACAGGCTTTGGTGATCTCGGTGGACAGGTTCGCCGTGCGAGCGTTGGAGACGCTATCAAGACCACTTTGTTTCTCATCATCACGGAGAACATCTTCCAGACGGCGTCGCAATTCGGCGTCCTCATCAGCAGCCTTCGTTTGGTCAAGAGTTACATACTTCAGTGCAACCTGACGACCAATCTCAGAGGCCTTGCTAAGTTTTTCTTTACGGACACGGTCACCCTCCTTAGTTAAGCGAAGATCATCGATACCGCAGGTAAATGCACGCATGTTCAGGAATCTCGTTAGAAGCCTGCCAAGAATACCGATGAGCCTTCCAGCAATGGTATGTCCATAGATTTCGTGAATAGAATCGATGAGACCACCGGCTGTAGGACCGATCTGCTTCTTATCAAGAATACCACAGAGCAACTCTCCATCCTTAAATAGAACAGTTCCTTCTTCGTTGCCTTCGCCCCATCTATCCCCTGGTGTCGAGGACTTGCTCTTCATATTGAGACCGGCTCTGTTTGGAGGCATGATGTTCTTGAGGATAGTTGTAATGATCTGCTTTCCAGTCCAGAGAGGCTTTGGTTTGATCATTGTCGGGGCGACAACCTGAATACGCTCTGTGATTGTGTGAGAATTCTCAGGTCTCAAACAACTGTAGAGCAGCTCATGGTAGTCCTCCTCGTCGAAGAAACTATCACGGCAGGTGAACCACGTAGACATCGAGATGTGATCTTGAATCAAACCTCTCAAAGGTTTACCAGAAGTTGCAACAAGGTATTGATGGTCTGCGTCTGCAAGCATCATGGCTTCAGCACGGGCAAGCTCGTTTTGGGGGAAATGCATGTTCATTTCGTCTCCATCGAAATCAGCGTTGTAGGTATTACAGTTAGCGTAGTGCATGCGAATGACACGTTCATTGGCGAGTACACGGGCCTTATGACCCATGATAGACGGCTTGTGAAGTGTAGGCTGACGGTTCATCAAGACAACATCTCCGGTGGTAAGATGACGATACACCTTCTTGTTGCGCGACCCCTTCATACGCCAGTTCGATGGTGCGAGCAGCTGATTGGCCAAGGCTGTCCGCTCATCGAGACTCTTGAACTTAAGATTAGTGACTTGTCCAAACTCGTTCTCGATCGCAGCGGCACCTGGGTACTTGTCTGGACCGTTGATGACAGCTTGCTTCATTTCCCAGAAGTTGTGGTTGGTTACAGGCTCCGGATACGTCAGTTTCTTTGCAAACACAAGCGGAACACCAATTTCGTTGGTTTCGATGTTGGGGTCAGGAGAAATGACACTACGAGCAGCGAAGTTCACACGTTTACCCATCATGTTCTTTCTGAACAAACCCTCCTTCTTTTCCAGAATCTGCTTAATGCCATTGGGGGCGCTGGCCGCCGCGGGACCGGACAATCCACTCCTATCACGGTCAATCAGACCGTTCACAGTATCCTGAAGCTGTACAATGGCGTGTAGGAGATCCCTGTAGTCGCGCACACGCATGGCAGAGTCGGACCCTCCATTCTGTCGTTCTTTGCTGATTTGATTGATAATGTCACAGTTCTTTAAGATCTGCGTAAACACCGTGTTTTGCTGGGCTTCAACAACAGCACCGGCCCCCTGGGCAGCAACAGGTCGATATTTGTTCGGTGGCACCAAGAGGTTTTTGATGAAGAACATGCCTGCATCAATACGAGACTCTTTCTTTGACATCGGACGGGATGTATAGACAAGGTTCAGAATCTCCTCTTCTTTAATGAACAGCAAGGTAATTGCAGCGTGGACTTCTGGTGAGGGCATGAACTGACCGCCATCACCAGTCTTCTTGTTGTCCACCTGTGCCAGGATGGCATTGCCACGAGCAACTTCTTCCTCCGCTCCGTGAGATTCCGATGTAGTACTGGCGTTGTCGTTTGCAAGCGCCTCCTTCTCTTTGCTATTGAATTTCCTGGTTTCCTGAAGAATGATCAAGGAGTTTGACGCATTGTACCCAGCCTGTTGCATAGCGAGTTTAGCCTTTTCGGGCAAAGCTTTCCGGAAAATCTTCGAATACCGATCTCTTCGATAGCCTGGCGAGATTCTTTCTTTGGAGTTAATGCTCATGTGCTGGTAGCAAAGCTGGGGAAGTAATCAGAACTCACCCTGAGCAATTGGCACACTTCTTGATGCTGACAATATCCTTGAAGAAATCCCTGACAACAGCTCGCCTTTGTTCCGCAGCAATCGGGTTTTTGGCTCCAGCCATCAAGCCCTTCAGCTTACCCGCCGCCTGTGCCTCGCGAATGGATTTCTTGACAAACACATTCCTGCGCTTCACGAGGTCATCTTCGTCTTCGTCTCCATCGTCATCGGAGTCGTCTCCATCCTTCGCCGATTTCTTTGATCCCTTCTTGAGCTCCATTGACTCCAAGACAGCTACCTCGTCGACCAGGCCATACTGCAATAGTCGCAATTTGCAGGTGTAGGCATTAACTTGTGTCCGAGACATCTGAAGACGGTGGCAGTATACACATTGCGCCCTAAGAAGACGGTACATCTGATCAAAGTGCGTGACATTGTACACATGGACCGGTAGTTCGATGTGTCCAGGATGGCCAGTACAAGACCATGAGCTCATGCGACATGTTGTGCAGCTAGGTCCGGTCAGTCGAAGAGCCAAAAAGAAGGCTGAATCAAAACACAAGACTGTAGAGGACAACAATGTGCTGAGAAAGAGACTTACACATGGTCACCCCATGCTCCCATAGCCGTGTCATACAGACCACCAGGAACAGGGTTGTTGAAGGAATCCAAAGTCGGAGTATTATGGATTCGCTTCACCGAGGTGGCTTTGATATCCTCGTCATTGTAAACGGAAAAGTCAATCCCCGAAATAGAGGAAGCCACAGGACGTGCGAAGTTCGCCATGATTCCCTGCAGCTCCGTGAGCGACAGAAGAAGCTGGCTATGCGACTATCTGTTGGTCTGGAAGGAGCAAAAGCGGGTTCGTTCGGTCTTGTCGCTGCGAAAAGAAAAAGTTCGCCCAACTTTTTTTCTGCCGTGCGATACCGCTCAGACCCACGTTTGGGATCGCCCCGTGATTTATGCCCGTGTCACCTATTAAGTTCTCACTTTAGCTCTCAGATTGCCGTTACTCGTTTGCCAATCTTCCATACGCCAACTTTGAGTCGCGCTCGGTGCCAGTGGGTGAGTGCAGCGTTCATTTTCTGCCTCAAGCAATGGCGGACCTGTCAGGCAACATACTGAAGCGACCTCACCCCGAGGACGAAGACAATAACACGCAGAAAAGATCACGTTCCAACAATGGATCCCCATTACCCGGTCAAGGGGCTCCAGCCTCTGGAAAGCCTGATATCGAGAGGATGGTAGCTGAAGCGAGAGCGAAAGCCGAAGCTGTACGCGCCAGACTTCAAGCTGCAAGAGGAGGATCCACACCATCATCAGCACCAAGCCCCAGCCCTACACCCCCGGCCGCTTCTCCAGCAATGTCCAGATTAGAGCAAATGAAAGCCAGAGTCGCGGCTGCTACTGGAAGGGCCAGTGTAGTAGCTCAGCAACGACCGGCCGAACCCTCGCCGACGCCTCAACCTCCCCCATTAGAAGAAGACGATGGCTCCTCGAGGGGTCGAGGTGGTCTGGATGTCGGTCTTCATCCGGCCCTGCTTTCGGACACCGTTGAGTTCCGCAGCTCCAAGGGAAGGCAGTCTACGCAATCGAAAAACCGTCGAACAGAATCTCCGGCCATGAGTGGGAAGCCGGATCGAGCAGGGCTCGATCTTTCCGGTCCTTCTTTGGAAGAAATCAGGAACAACCCTTATTACGACCCTAGCCTCGGTCCTAAAGCTACGATTGCAAAGCCGCGACAGTCACGACAACTTATTTTCAATCAGAAGGGTAAATATATCCAGCAGGGCGCTGCTCTGCGTCGGCAGGCTCAATTGGAGGCGATGAAGAAACGCATTGCCGAGAGGGCGCGACAGGCTGGTATCGATGAGGACCTTGATGTCGAAAAGGCTTTCCTTGTTCCGGCTCCACCGGCAATCGAATGGTGGGATGAAGGACTGGTGGACGGGGAGGACTATTCCAGCATCGAGGACGAACGGAATTTAAAGATTGATACACCCGACACCATAGTGACTCAATACGTTCAACACCCAGTCCTTCTCGACCCTCCACAAGATAAGCATATGGCAGAGCAGAAACCTATGTATCTCACTCCTAAGGAACAAGCTAAGATTCGTCGCCAGCGGCGAATGGCCGATTTGAAGGAACAGCAAGCAAAGATCAGACTGGGACTTGAGCCAGCTCCTCCACCGAAAGTCAAGAAGTCCAACCTCATGCGAGTGCTGGGTGAACAGGCCGTCAAAGACCCTACCGCTGTTGAAGCACGCGTAACGCGAGAGATCGCAGAGCGACGTGCTGTGCATGAGGAGGCCAACGAAGAGCGTAAGCTGACAAAGGAAGAGCGACGAGAGAAGCTCGCTAGGCAACAAGAGAAAGATGCCGAAAAAGGAATTCTTATGTCAGTTTACCGCATCGACAGTCTTGCAAACGGGCGGAATCGCTTCAAAATCAGCAGGAATGCCGAGCAGAACGCTCTTACTGGGGTCTGTGTCATGCACCCTAAATTCAATCTTGTGATTGTTGAGGGTGGCTCCCACTCTATTAACAACTACAGGAAGCTTATGCTGAACCGGATAGACTGGACAGAGAACGCAGGTCCAAACGCTGTGCGGGAAGGCAACCGGGAGGCTCAGGTGTCATGGCTAGCTGCTGAAGATGAGCAAACGGGTGATCTGAAAGATCTTAGCTCCAATACATGCAGTCTCTTGTGGGAAGGCCAGGTCAAGGCTCGAGCTTTCCGCAAATGGTTGGGAGCACGAGTGTGTGAAACTGATTCTCAGGCGAAGGACGTCTTGTCTCGAGCAAAGCTGGAGAACTTCTGGGCTCTAGGGAAGAGCGCAAAGCAGAACGATCCATGGTCATGACGATGATATTTATCCTTCTTGATTTATAGATTATAGTCGAAAGGCAGAACAGGTCTATCTCTATTTAACAAATACAACCCATGGCCCGTATGTGCCAGGTCTAATAACCGATCATTTTTCACATTGCTTGCATCACTCGAATGACATGTCCCCTCACGATGTATACATAAAGACTCGTAATCAACAAGAGAAATGATCCAATGTAAACTTTTAAGCCAATCCAAGGTAAGATGCCTAACTCCCTAATAATGCAAACCTATATCCCTATGTATCAGTTTTACCGAAACCCAGAAAAGCAAGGAAACCCTAATCATATCAACATGGTATCAGACACTCATGAGCGAGGTGGTCCTTGATTGTTGTTATTGCTCAACTGACGCAACAGGTCTAATTGCGCCTTGACCTGATCAAAATTCATGGTTGCAGCTTGCGCCGGTTGTTGCCCAGGGGCTTGCTGTTGGCGATTCTGCTGCAACAGTTGCTGCGCCTGATGCGAGTATTGCAAAGCGGCCAAGAACATTGGGTCGATTTGCGTGTTGGGTGGAAACTGGTAAGGGTTTTGTTGGGGATAAGCCTGCTGGAATGGCATCTGGACATTAAAGCCCGGGGGTACAGCACCTTGACCGAACTGTTGCTGTGGTTGATGTTGAGGCTGTTGCTGAGGCTGAGGCTGTTGCTGCTGCGTGAAAGATGGGTACGCAGGGTAGGGTTGTGGCATTCCATAAGCATTAGGTTGGGTTTGCTGGTACACTTGTTGACTGTAGTTGGAAGGTTGAGGTTGTGCGTCCGATCCTTGCTGTTGATATGGCTGGCGGTCATAATGCTGAGTCTCTCTCGGTCCGCCTCCACGGCCACGACCACCTCGGCCGCGATCAAAACCCCGGCCACGACCCCTACCACCACGGAAGCCACCTCTACCAGAGGATCCATCGTTCTCGACAGGTGCCTCCTGCCGACTCATCATCTCATGGAGGTTCTTCGGGCGAGCAAGAGGAGTATATCCATCTTCACCTGCGTTATCGTCGTAGTTTAGTTCAGTCTGGCTGAGCTTCGAAGGTCCTGGGGGCCCCTTCTTAGCCTTTGCTGGGCCATCCCTGGCTTCCTTTCTTTCCTGCCGCTTCTGCTTCAACTTCCGCTTGTACTCGGCTTCTGCTTCATCGTCGGAAAACTCCACTTCATCCTCACCAATTTCCTCATCGTGGAAATTTGATGCATCACTACCTTTCATTCCCTTGAGAGGCTGAGTAAACACAAACGTAGAATGTTGCTCAACGTAGTAAACGTTTTTTCCTTTAGAAAGACCACATTCCTCGACAGCCGCGGCAGTAGGGAACCGGATAGTATACAAGGGTTCCTCGACTCTTCCCAATGTCTCAGCAACCACACCAGTGATACTCCTGTCTTCAAGGCAGAGTAATGACCCCGATTCCAGCACCTGGTACTCTCCAGAAGTGTTCGCCGAGATCAGGACCGTGTTCTCGATAATTGCCTCCACATGTCCTAGTAACACGATCTTCATTTCGGGAGTCACAGTGACATCCGGGATCGGGGGCACTTCTTCTGGAAGTTCATTTGCCGTTCTGATATGACCACCCGATTTGCCCTTCCCCTCTCCTTCATCGTCGGAACCGAGTTCTGCCTGCATCAAAATCCGCGCTTGCTCTTCGGGGCTAAGAATTGGGTAGTCTTCGTCGTCCTCGTCGCTGTCATCTGAGGAATCGCTAGAAGAATCATCAGAAGATGACTCGTAGGGAGAAGAATCAATCTCCCATTCGGGATGCTCCTCGTCCTCCTCGTCCTGTTCGGCTTGATCATGTGCCATAGCGTCTGGGGGAGGCACAGTTCCTGTCCCGCTTGCGTCCCCATTGGTATTGTTGTTGTCCGCCTGGCCCTGAGTTGCAGCTTCGGCCTGGTTACGTGGTTCTGAATTTGGTTCCCCCTCGATCTTTCCGGTGCTCTCCACAGTAGGTTCTTGTCTCTTAGGCTCCGTTTCTTCGATATCCATACCAGTTTGTGTATCCGTATGCGCACCTTCCTGGGCGGTGGGGTTAGGCGACGGGCTTGGATCGCTCTGCGCCGGCTGCAGGTCTTTGAGGCTATCATTGACAAGGTTTAACCCGGGGATTAGTGTCGAAGGATGAGATGTCGTGGCTGGTTCGTTGGTTTGACCCTGAATAGCGGCTCCCGAGTGCTCGCTAGGTTCTGCAGGCGTGCGCGCAACCCACGGCGTGTTATAGAAATCACTTCCATCGTCCGCAGGTGTTAGTGCAATGGGTGGCGTATCATTCATGCAAGTCCGTTTCACAGGAGGGCCTTCGTTCGCATCCTCTAGGGAATGCTGGGGTTGAACAGGGGGTTGTTGATCACTCATTATGTATCTCTGTAGCCTTGAGAAAGACGCGTCTCAAAGGCTGGAGAAAAAAAAATTATAATAATTTATGGTATAGTTAAAGGAATGATTGCAGGCAAAATCTAAGGCGGAAACTTTTTTTTTTCTTCGAAGTGCCATAATTGCCGTTGCGGTTACCGGAGAAGCTTGCTTATCGATAACGTGTTGGTTAAGCTTCAACCATGCCTTAAACTTGGCATGTCAATTAATCTTCAACGATTGTCGGCAAAATGGCATCTGCCAGGAAAACAACTGGGGTTCCCTCAATGCCCACGGGGCAGGCACCGCGATCCAAGAAACGGTATCAAAACCAGAGTTCCTTTCCTTATCAATCAGGCTAACGCTCGCGACCTTCGCAGACCCCCGCCGCCGCCCTATTACCTTCCATTGAATATAACGCTCTATGTGTTCCTCATCTCCAATGCAATTGCGGCGTTCCTTGCGCCCATTCAGGATTGTGATGAGGTCTTCAACTTTTGGGAACCCACACATTATCTTGACCATGGATATGGACTTCAGACGTGGGAGTACTCCCCGGTATATTCGATCCGGAGCTGGCTCTATGTGACCATTCATGCTATTATCGGGAAAGTAGCCTCCCTTGCTTTGGTTACGAAAAGCTCTCAGTTCTATGCGATCCGGTTTTTTCTAGCCCTCGTTTGTTCCGCCTGTCAGACCCGACTATATGCGGCAATCTGTCGAACACTCAGCCCCAAAATTGGCCTGTTCTTTCTTATGATCGTTGCGTTCAGCCCGGGCATGTTTCACGCCTCCGCAGCATTCCTTCCCTCCAGTTTTACTATGTACATGTCCATGCTAGGTCTCACAGCCTTCTTGGATTGGCGACGTCAGAAGATCGCACAAGGAATTATGTGGTTTGGCCTCGGTGCGATTGTCGGCTGGCCTTTTGCCGGTGCTTTGATCGTTCCACTTCTGCTCGCAGAAGTTCTTGTCGGCTTTATCTCGGGGTCCCTGGGGACTGTCATCTCTGGTATCTTTAGTGGAGCCCTCAGGTGTCTGGCAATCCTAGTATGTTACTACGGACCAACAGTCGATGATATCCGTCTTGTGCTAATGAGATGCAGGCTGCGGAAATTGCTGTGGACTATGCTTTCCTCCGAAAATTTGCTGTTGTCCCTTGGAATATCGTCGCCTATAACATCTTTGGAGGAGAAGGCAAGGGCCCAGATATCTTCGGTACAGAGCCTTGGACCTTCTACATAAGGAACCTACTATTAAATTTCAATATCTGGTTCATATTTGCGATGGCTGCCGCACCTTTACTACTTCTCCAGGCCATATTCCGACCCCAATCGACCAAGAAGGAGATGCCGCTACGAACCTTGCTGTAATTGCGCCATTTTATATGTGGTTTGCGATCTTCACCGCTCAGCCTCACAAGGAAGAAAGGTTCATGTATCCCGCGTACCCTTTCCTTGCTCTCAATGCGGCGATCGCAATCCACATCATCCTATCCTACGTTGGGTCTAAAGACTCGAAAGGGGCCAAAGGAAGCTTGTTAGCCCAAGCCAAGCTTACCATCGTGGCGGCTGTTGTTCTTGCCGCTATCAATGCTGGCTTGCTGCGGACCGTCGGAATGATCACCGGCTACAACGCCCCTCTGAAGGTGTTCGAACCGCTCCAGCGGCTGGGCATTCCCCAGACGGGCGACTCGGTATGCTTCGGTAAAGAGTGGTACCGATTTCCATCTTCGTTCTTCCTCCCTGATGGCATGCGGGCCAAATTTATCCGCAGCGAATTCCGGGGGTTGCTCCCTGGGGAATTTCCCGATGCCACGGATTATCCTGCTCTTTTCGACGGTACATCGCAGATCCCCGCAGGCATGAACGACTTGAACCTGGAGGACCCAGGCAAATACGTAAGTGTATAACCAGACGATCGTCTCTTCTCCATCAGCTAATCCCACACGTAGGTTGACATCTCCCAATGCTCATTCCTGGTGGACTCGTACTTCCCAAGTCGCGATGCAACCGAGCTGGAGCCCGACTATATCCATGACGAGTCACAGTGGGAGGTGATGTCGTGCAAGCACTTCCTCGATGCTTCGCACACGGGCCTTATAGGCCGCCTGATCTGGGTGCCTGATCTGCCGGGGCTGCCGGATCAAGTGCAGCGTAAATGGGGGCAATATTGCCTCCTGCGGCGGCGTGATGTCAGCGCCGAGACGGATTAAACGGTCACATGTACTATCAAAAAGCCTCTTCCACCAATGTAAATAGCCCAGAATGCTATCTCTAGATCTTGCCTGCATTTGTATCCGCGATGCGATCCGACAGACGCACCATGTAGGGCGGCAGTGCGACTTTACCTGAAGGAGACAAAAGATCCCCCGGGGCAGCAGAGATAAGCATCGTCTTCCCCGCAAACTTTAGATGTCGATCGCATCCGATTAACTGATCCGGCAGTGGACTATCTGATCCCTTGCCTCCAGCCATGATAACGCGCTGCACCATGATGTATGCTCCTCCATCGTGGATCATGATGCTTTTAAATCCACCCCCCGTCATCCACAACCCTACCGTGTAGCATTCCCCCCAACCACATCTATAACCTATCTATAGAAACCATCTCCGCCCCATGATACCAACAAGGCCATAAACAGTATCAATCACTAGAGAAGAAACCCCAAACATGATATTCACCTTCCTCCCAAGTACAATCCCCCAACACCACCTCTCCAATGTCACCGCCATTTGCCTCCTCGCAACCCTGACCACGTATCTCCTCCATTCCCTGTGGAAGAGACACCACCTCTCCAAATCCCCCGACAACGACCCAGAGCAGAAGTCCCTGTCTCCCACGTCCAAATTCAAACAACCCACCCGCAACCCGGGAGAATGGACCCCATCCGACTTCAAGCGACCTGCGGCCGCCCCATATCCAGACTGGGACGTACAGACCACCGAGCCCAAGCCCTACCGACCGTTCAGATACGGACCGTAAGTCAGATCCGTCTCCCAGATCGACCTACAGAACATCCAGGCAGGCAGGTACAAAAGCTAACAGAGAACCCCACAGTAAATATTTCATCACCATGGGCCTGCGCAGCATGAAATGGGACGAATGGATCGAACTCGACAACCACTACCCACGCTACCACGCCGACAAAGCGCGCCGGATCCAAGATCGAGGAGCGAAATGTTCCAGAACAGCCCCGGAAGCCATGGACGCTGCCATGGAGCTTCTGACGGAATTGTACGTCTTCCTTTTCCTCTCTATACACTCCTCCCCCACCATCCACCCATAAACTATAGACCACCCATACACTTCCCCCCTCCCCAAAAAAGAAACAAGGGAGAAACAAAAAAAAAAAAAAAAAAACCACCCCCACCAACTAACCAAACCCAAACAACACAGGGCAACCTACCTCCCAGAACGCTACCCAACGCTCTTCCGCAAAACCCCCACGGGAATCACCAACCTCCTCACCCAAGAAACCCTAACCACCGTGCCGCCCCTCCCCGAAGACCCCATGCAAACCTGTGGCCGTCTCGTCCAAGACGACCTCGCCTCATGATCGAGCGCCCGGACGGCGAATACTACCTCCTGGCGGGGTCCATCCTGCTCGCCGGCTTCTGGCGTCTAGAAGACAAGTACGGGATGCGGTTGTCGGAGATCCACACCTCGGGCTCTGTGCCCGGCTACAAAGAGAAGCTCGAGAAGGGCATGCTGAATTTCTTCCGCCGGTTGCGGCCCGAGGACCCGGTGCTCCGCAATAACTACTTCATCCAGGTGGATGAGAGCCTGCCCTGGTCGCACAGTATCGGGTCCGAGGATGGCGAGACGGTGTCGTGGAATACGGCGGAGAAGAACCGGGCCATTGAGAATCATTTCTTTCGCTCCGAGAGGCAGAGTTTGAGGAGATTGCCCAGGACGGGCGCCGTGGTGTTTACTATTCGGACGTATTTTGAGCCTATCACGGAGGTGGTCAAGGAGCCGTATGTGCCGGGTCGGTTGGCTTCGGCCATTAGGAGTTGGGGCGAGGATGTGGCGCGGTATAAGGGAAGGGAGAAGTATGGCGAAGTTTTGTTGGAGTATTTGGATCGGATGCATCAGGAGCAGGTTGCGCAGGGGCTGGAGGTAGACAAGGAGGAGGAGGTTAGGAGTTATCCGTTTTGATTCTTGGGAATTGTGTATTTATGGGTGTTGGGTGATCTTGGGCTTTGGTTTCTTTCTTTTTTTTAAATTTATGATGTGATGACTTGATGAATGTCTTTCTTGTTTCTTCTTGAAGCTGAGTGTTGTATCTTTATGAGATTGTAACGGAGTATGCCTCTATGGTCGTATCATCTGTAAACTCGCCCAAGTCTGTTCAAAGTCCAACAGGATGTCTAATCCCAGACACATTAGTAGCTGCAATGGCATCTTCCGTATATAGCCAAATGTCGGAGGCAGATTATTCTCCCAAACGCCGGCCATTGCCCTAACCCTATACAAAATCTAGATCAACAATAATTAGACAGCCAGCGAAGACGATCTTCTCCTTCGCTTCATAAAAGCCAATTCACGCTCTTGACGCCAGGAACATTCGTCGCGGAACTCACAGATCCGGCATTTCCATGCATCCATGACTTCGACCCCTCGTGGGTTACGCTCGCCACGCCACCATTCCATTTGGTCAGCCAGATAGGCTGTCAGCGTCGTAGGATCAAACAGAAAAGATCGGCTGCCCAGCACCCGCGACTGTTCTTCGGTTGTCGGGGCTGATGATAGGTATCGCGCGGTAAGAAGAGGCGATAGCACAGTGGGATAAGGTTCGAGTAAGCCCGGCTGAAACTCAGAAGGGATTGAGGGTGCCACGGACACTGGTGTCGAGTGTGCGGGTGGGAGGAAGGTGAGCCGGAGTTGGTCTTTCATTAGCTTCCAGAGGCTGGCCAGGTTGTTGTGCGCGAGAAGGATACTGGTCGAGTCCTGGCTGCCAGGGGGTGCAGAGTCCGCCCCATGCAATGCGCGTCGTCCAGCCGCATCTTCCGGGGTGAGAATGAAGTCAGGGTCAGACTCCTGCGAGGATAATGTATCAAAGAATTGGTCGTTGAGACCGCCTACTTCAGCTATGAAGGCGTCGGTGAACGTGCGCGAGGGGTCCAGACCATAGCGCGAGGCAAGTAGTTCGATGGACACATCGTCACTGGTAGCAAGCCGATTGAGCATATGATAGTACATCTGAAGTTGGAGCAGTGTCGGCCGGAACGACGAACTCTTCACAGTGGGGACCGAGGCACTAGCTCTGGTCTTGACGTCTGTCATGTATATTCGGGGCAAACTGAAAGCCTCTGAGGAAGATTCACTGCCGACCCCGGAATCATCTAAGCTATCTTCCTGCCCGCCATTCCAGGAAAGGTCAGAAAGCCGTTTGCCACCCTGCGACGGCGACAACAAGTAATCCGAAAGCGACATTTGATACTCGGGCAGCACAGCCCTCGATGCCTCCACGTCGGCATAGTACGACGCGGCCGTCGCTTCAAGATCTGGGTCCGGACACTCGTAGGAGAGCTGATCAATGACCCCATTCACCAGCTCGCCATCCACCAGCCCCCAGACCTCCAGCTCCCGAGTCATACCATACTCCCTCAATGTCCGCAACCCTTGGATGATATTCCATATCCTCAGCGCCAGCGCGTCTTCCTTAGTCGTAATCTCTACCGGGACCGTCGTATAAATCTCATCCTCCACGTCTTATGTATCGTCGTCCCCTTCTTCATTGCCGGAGTCCTCCTCTTCCTCCCAAACTTAGTCAACGTATACCAATACTGCAGCTCGCACCACGCCGGCGAAATCAAATCCGTGACCGAAAAAGCCTTATTAGGCGGTTTCCGAAATCTCTCGATCGGCGACCGATTATCCGCAGCAGGATCCGTAACACCGGTAGCCCATTCTCTCTCACGAGCTATATCCCTCTCGCGCTGTTTCATCCGGCCCTCAGTAGAATTCGGGTGCTCGACTAAACGCTTCGTCAGACTGTCAGCGCCTCACAAACAAACACGGAACATCAAAGCCAGGAAGAAAGAAAAAAAGGAGGTTAATACCAAACGCGGCGCCGCCATTGCTTGCCATCTGACCTGCTCTCCCCGCAACGGGACTCCGCCAAGTCTTGGATACCTGCCATACAGGCTTTTGCCTCCCCAGTACTTTGGGCGTCCGAGGACTCGATGGAGCGACATGGCAATCTTCAATGTCGCCTACAGCGCGGTTTATCTCCTTCGCGGCTGGAGTTGTTGTCGATGGTTGGGGCGGCGGTGGTGTCGCGTGGAGAGCCGCGTGTTCCGTGACGGCTTGGGCAAGTAGTTCGTTCAAAACTTCCTCTTCATCCGGTGTGAAGTCGGATCCGTAGTCGCTGCTATTGTCGGAGATTATATCTTTCATTAAATGTTGGGAGGACTGCGGGCAGGACATGCCTGCGATCCTGTCGGGGAGTTCATGTCATTGTGATGTGGAAGTGGCGAGGCCGCCGTGGATAAGCTATCGGTTATAAATATTATCCCCTCATCGACTGCTGCAGAGAATGCAGGCGCGATCTTTCAAGAAGACGAAATTTGGGTACGCAAAAGTAGAATAACAAGTATGAGAGATCACGGTGTATCTATAAATCACTGTTTTTTATAGTCTATCAAGGGCGCTGCAAACACACGCTATCTATAATCCATCCAAGCTACCCGATGCCGCCATATCTAAAATCTATATACAACAAGGGAGAAAAAACCAAAGGGGTATAGGAAAAAAAGACATCCAGCCAAGAATAGAACTATGCTTTCAGCGTCGCAGAGGCGACGACTTCAATCTGCGACGCCGCTGCCTCGGCCAACTCATTGGCCTCGACTTCTCGCGCCGCCTTCTGGTTCAACCAGCTGAGATACGTCTGCCATCCGACCGCAATAACTCCAGAGAATATATTCCGGAACTGAGGCGGCACGTACATGAAGCTGAACGCGGTGACTGCGGGCCACAACTTCGCGCTGTTGGTGATGCTCACTGGAAGCGCCTTCTTCAGACGTTCCCAAGTCTCCTCGAGAGTTGCACCGGCAAGCAACGAGTGGACACTGAAGAAGTAGGTGTTGAAGACGGGTGTGAAAACGGCCTGTTGCACGCAGACCTTGGTGAGGATTGAGAGGAACTTGGATGTGAAATTGAAGTGGTGGTGAAGGAACATGAACCTATTGTTCATCCATTAGCATATTGTCCCGTTATGCCAAAAGCGAAGGACCGGAAACAGCATACCAGTTATACGACGGAATACTTGATCCTGCGCCCACTGTCAAGTGCCGCAATGTCCTCCACGGGTCATATCCTCCTCCGGATGTCGCGGCGCCATCGTCTTCACTCTCTGTCTTTAACGGCGACTCTGAATTTTCTCGGGCTGTATCCTTCACCGATTTGCTATCCGAAGGAAACAATAACTGTGCGCTCAAGTCACCGAATAGGTACACGACAATCGAGCTCCAGAATTGCGTCGCATAAGGCCTTCTTTCCTGAATCCGCGAATATGACCGTCCGAGCTTGCCAAGAGGCCCCTCCACGATAACGTCACGCAGCGATCGAGATCTGGCACCGATGGGGACTGTACGCGGGGTGGGGGAGGAACAGGAGGGTTGCGTCGATGAGGAAGGAGTGGCTTGGGGTTGGGCGTTCTGGGAGGGTACGTTCTTCTCGGGGCTCTTCGGTGATGAGCTGGTAGATCGATTTCCTTGAGGCCGTATGCGAGATGGTAGATGGGATCGCAGCGATAGCGTTGGCCGTTTGCCAAGCTGGATGACAAGCGTATGTCTCATATTTTTTGTTGTGCTGTAGTATAGGAATCTCGCATATGGATAATGGAAGGCGATCAACCGATGACCATAACAAGCCTATTAAGAATAACCCCGAGTGACCGGTTGAAGCCCAGGAGCCGCACAGGAACAGCAGTACGGTCAGCAGAAAATAAGGCACATCATGTTGAGTCAAAATTGAATCAGCGCAGGAGATTTATTCCGCCATCAGCGCTGTCGGCACTGCGTCTCTGCCGAGGGTCGGCGAAGGCAAGCCTTTCCGATCGGAGACTCAATCTATTGGCTCTTAAGTCCGAGATAAGCACCAAGGCCGAATCATTCACGATGCAATGGTCAAGTATATTCCCTCTAGTACATTATCCATACATACATACACCAGATCACATTCCAACTCCACGGTCTATAATGCAAGCAAACACACAAAAAAAATTATGCAATGGCACGCCGGGTATATCAACATGAAATAGTCGTCTAAATAATATAAGAGTAGAGCCCTCGGAAAAGCGCTCAATGCATCGACAACAAACTTTTTCTCTTCCATCACGCGCATCTCACATCAACACGTTGAGTGTTATCAAAAAAACCGGGTATAAAAAAGGGGGTAATAGATACTAAAAATTATCGACGTAGTTGGTCTCGGTATATGTAAAATGTCGAGAAGGTGAAGAACTTAAAGGGTGGCTGTGCAATGATCCTTCGGTAGAGACTACACGAGTCAAGATCATTTGAAGGACTCGCGAGTATGGACGCGATCGATATCGTACGGGTTCCCGTCATAGATCGACTGACGCGCTGAACCAGCGGTCCGAACCGATGACTTAGTGCGAACTTGTTGCACCGGCGGCAGCTCGCCAACATGCGAGTCGCTTTCATCATCGCTGCTATCGGACACATCAACACCAGGCGCCTCCGTGCGGTCATAGGCCTGTTCTATTTCCTTGTCTTCGGGCTCACCCTGCTGTTGCTTAATCTGCTGCGCCATCTTGCGCATAAAGGCATCGGACTCGGCTGCGTACTTGCAGCGCATGCGGATCTTGGGGCCGTAAATATAGAACAGGAACGGGAACGGTACGCATGCAAGAGCCAGGAAAGCAGGAATGGTGGATGCCCAGTGGATGCCAAGGTCACTGTACATATATGTCGTGAAAAGCGGGAAGACGGCGCCAAAGACCGATCGCAAAACTGAGTTTGCTGCCAGGACCGATGCGGCGAAGATAGTATATGTGTCAATCAGGTAGGTCAGGATACTCAAGAACACCAGGACCATTCCAAAACCGAATGGGGCTCCTGCTGCGACACAGGCCATCCAGTGGATAGATGGGTAGTTCGTCCAGGCAAACCAGAAGAGGCCGATAGGAATAGCGAGCGAGGCAACCATGCACGGTGGGAGACGTGCTTCGGGGGGAGCGAACCCTCCGTGTTGTTCGTCAGTCTTGACGTACCGCTTGTTGTCGATAATGCTGTAGGCCACAGCAGCCAGCATTCCGATCATGATACCCAGGAATGGCAGGCTGCCCACGCCCTGGTTCCAACCACGGACCAGCTGGAACACAATTGGGTAGGCGGCGAAGAGCATATACAAGGTGCCATACACAATAGCCATGTACAGAGACAACAAGAACACGATAGGCTCCCGGAAGAGTAGGATCCAGGGACGCGACAATGCGGTGCCGAACGCTTGCTTGAGACTGACCTTGCCCTGGTCGATGTCCAATTTGCTGAGATAGACCTTACCAGTAATCTTAGACAGTCTCTCGGCGCGACGACGAAGAAGAACCGGTGCATATGTCTCAGGTGTAAACAAGGAGGCCACGATCCAAACAAAGCCAGAAAAGGCTCCCAAGAAGCCCATCACCCATCTCCATCCGGCATTCATTCCCAGGAAACCTCCGATGATAGGGCCGAGAACGGGGCCTATATGAAAGATCAGTCCAAGAACATTTACAGAATACGAAGTAACAGAATAAAGAGAACCCTACCCAGAAACGGAGCAGCCGCAAAAAGACTCGTCGCAACGCCTCTCTCTTTAGCAGAGAACATGTCGGCAATGACACCTCCCGCATTGGTAAGAGGGGAGGAGCCAAACGATCCGGCGAAAAATCGAAGAATGATCAGAGTCTGGATGTTCTGGGAGCCAGCGCTTCCACAGTTGAAGGCAGTCAAAGCGAGGTACGTGATAAAGAAAATGATCTGACGGCCGAACATTTCACTCAGGGGAGCCCAGAGCAGAGGCCCTATTCCGGTCAGTTGAAGAAGATATTCGCGAAAGAGCAAAAGGCGTACCGATGGCAAAACCAAGGACGAAGAGCGAAACACCCAGGGTAGAAACTTCGGTACCGACGTGAAACTGTTGTCTGATCTGAGCAACACCGCCGGTATAGGCTGATGAAACTAGCGCAACGGCCAGGGTCGAAATAGCAGCAAGCATGGTGATGAACCATTTCGTGCTACTGGGGAACTGCATAGGGTTCCGTGGATCATTGGGGAGCCAGGTGACAGCATATGGATCCTCTTCTGTTCCTGAGCCCGGATACGGATGATCGATGACTTCCTGGGTCACGGCTCCCTGATCCATAACCATGCGCCAATATGGAATTTTCCGGCTCATGGGCGACTCGCCGAGAGCCCCCTTCTCGTTCGACATGGTGGAAGAAGCTGTGTTTCGTATCACACCGGGGGACAATGAAACAATGGCGTTTAGGGGTAGGAGACGGTGTCGTACGACTGGGTCAAAGAGACGGAGAAAGAGCGGCTGCGGCTGACGTTGTCTCGCGTATTAATAGAGCAAACAAGTGCTGTTGTTAACAGATAGGATGATCCTTGTCAAGGATGCTATATTGGCCGAATGCGGCAAGGGTATAGTAGACGGTATTGAAATTCAAGGTGTGGGAAACCAAGAATGTCGATCAGGAAAATTAGAATAAAACCAAGATTAAATCTATTAAAAGGTTAAAGAACGGTACCACACAAATCTAGGGCCGGAAAAAGTAGGACTCAAAGGGACGTTACAGATCTATATATACATCTGGGCCCAACGAAATTTTTTTCTCTCTGATTTAGTGACAGCGTCACTTTGGAGTAATTTGCCTCGGATCTAAGCCGGTCTCAGGTCCTTCAGGTACGAAACAAAGCTGCAATTAAAGGAATGGGGCCAAATGCACCCGAGATCTGAGCATTATTCGCCATTATGCAGCGCATAGACCGGTCGGCCTTGAACGGAGTGGATCCGAAGACCCATCTGTTAAAGCTCTGGATCCATGGGCTAACCGTGTGCCTCGTGGCTTAGGGAAATTCTCCTGGAAAGTTTTTTGATTAGTCGAGGTTATTCTTCGGGTGTATGACTCTTTGAGAAAGTGCCTCCGTAGGGCAGTTTCTTGATTACGGATCCATGTATGAGTTGTGAAGGGTCATAAATTCGTGCATAATACATCGCTAGTGACGTCTTATCTATCGAATCTCAGGTGAGCATGGATATCAGGATATTCGAGGGAGGGAGAAATTGCATCACGGTGTCGAAATCGCTTGATAAGAACAGGCGACCGAATGACTCGTAGAAATTTCGGCCCGATTATATCATCAGCCGCATCAGGACGTCACCCTAAAACTCTCCCGCTTCGGGTTAGAACATCTTTTCGTATCCGACTTCAGCCACAGTTCATAGACTGACCTTTGTTGCTCATAAGGCCACAACCACATCGCATGATTACCTTGTATAAAGGGGGTTCATTATATCCTATGAATATTCCGTCGAGATCTTCTACACGAACAATGTTGCTGAACTTCCAAGTTTCCATGTTCTCAATACCATGACTCCTAAAGCTAAGCATCGGCTACTCTTCTTGTCATGGCCCCTTGGCGAATCGACGGATCTTTAATATCCGGCTAGGGACGATCATCTACATCCTAACGCTTCGGATCTATTCCCTATGTATGAAAAGGGCTTAATCGACATTTCCTACGAAGCGTAGTGTCAACTACTATCTAAGTTCATATTTACAAAGAACCCCATCATCAGGAGACATTAGCCTCAAGACTTCAAAGTCTGTTGGGGACTCGGCGTGCCCGTCTTGGACCCACTAGTATTGGTCCATAATCCTAAAGCGGTTTAGCTCCGGTGCCACTTATTCATTCTGGGCCTTTTCGAGCCACCCTAGAATCCGACGGTAATTACACTACGGAGTAGGTCCCGGTGTATGCTTGAGTTTCTGCATAAAGTCAGATGGAGAACGATGGGTCGTACCTTATACTTTATGCTGACCCAAGAACAACTTACTGTGTAGAGTCTTGGAGGGAGATCGTCTATCTGTCCCTATGGCGGCATGACAGGTCGATCAGCACGACAAGCTGTGTTGATCTCCATCTGTATTCGCTGATATCTTACTTTGGAACTGGAAGGGTGCATATTCGTGCGCCCACTCCTTGCCGCCTTGCCTGTAAGGCAACAATCGATAACTTGACTTAATAGCGGCAGCGCTGCAGGGATTCATCATTAGCTACGGCTATTCCTGGTGCCTTCGGCGTGGAATGTCATTAGTTATGCTACCTGGTTAACTAGTCGGCAGTGGCCTGGCATTTACCTGGTAATTAGAAGGTGTATGGTTGCCACATCTACCTGTCATCTCGCGAGTTATATATCACAAACCTGAAGTACTCTTACTCAATATCTCATATTTGAACCTGCCATAAAACTTCAACGATATATAATGTATTACCAGTATATATCTTCTCTTGATATTCTTTAACACCCCCCTTCCCTTTTCCATCCTGCCCACAGATCACCCAACGCTGATAAGAAACCAAAAAGAACCTCGGCAAATTCCCAACTCACGACAGAGCCCCCATCTAATCAAAGAAACCCACTCCATCTTACAAATACACATCTTAATTTGCATCTACCCAATCTAACTATGATCCCACTAGTCACCCCCTCCACCGATAGATTGTTTCGTATCTCGTTTCGCTGTCCGACCGAGGCACGGGACTTGGCCGTAAGACATTGAACCACCACTTAAGGGGGTTTCGGGCTCGGAATACCGGTCGCTGCATAGGATGCCGACAGAATAGTTGACTATAAGAATAATCATTAATCTTGTAATACGCAGAAGATATTGCAAATGATGTGATATCATTTTCTACCGGATTCATGTTCTTTTTTACCTACTGGTTGTCTGGTTTTGAGAGACCTGTTACGCAAGCGTCGCTGATGCTCCATCGTGATCAGCTTGTCGCTTGTACCCCTCCCCCTCCATATATGGAGGATAGAGGGGTTTAAAAGGTGCAGATATGCAAAATGTAATAAGCTGTATTCTGTAAATGTGATTTTGGAGATTTATCAGAAAGCTGAGGGCTATCTATGAGCCCCCTAGGTTCTATTCCAAGGTCGGGACCTTATGGAAGAGCACAAGTCATAATGTCACTGCTTCACTCCTCAACTACTAGTATCACCAGACGTACGATCGCAAACAACCATCTCAAAGAAATGGCCAGCCTGCGGTCGAGGAAATAAACCTAAAATATTCCAAAAAATCTCGGTAGGAATGATAGAAATAAACTTTTATTGGCTGTATACTGGGCGCTCTGTGAGCACCAACCTAGCGATACCACTGGTATACACTCAACAGGCCGCGGTCGCGTCGCTAAAAGCCCGATCGCGGCCTTGAGAAGAATTCTTACTAGGAAGAACAGCGCGAGGTTAAGTCACGACAGGGATGGATTGGATTATTCGTCATAGAGTCTGCATTTCGAATCTATGCCAGCCGGTGGCAATTCATGGAGAATACCACTTGGTCAAGTAAAATTTCTTAATGTACATACTCGGATGCATCCCATGAGATCCAATCCACTCAGCCGCGTCGTCGGCAGCCTACTATTTATTGCGTAGCAAAACGAAAACTAATCCCAGTGCCGAAACCCATTGATATTCGCAAATGAAAAAACAGAACCCATCATGTATCGCCAGTCGTGAAAAAGAAATAAAACCCCTAATCGCCTACCCAGAGACAACCAGAAAACCCGGACTCATTAGAGAATAATCTAAGAGCGCTCACCACGGAGACGGCGGGCGAGCTGGATGTCCTTGGACTGGATGGTGACACGCTTGGCGTGGATAGCGCAGAGGTTGGTGTCCTCGAAGAGGGAGACGAGGTAGGCCTCAACGGACTCCTGAAGAGCACCGATGGCGGAGGACTGGAAGCGAAGGTCGGACTTGAAGTCCTGGGCGATTTCACGGACCAGACGCTGGAAGGGGAGCTTGCGGATCAGAAGCTCAGTGGACTTCTGGTAGCGACGGATCTCACGGAGAGCGACGGTACCTTTTGATGACTGTTAGTCAAAAGGTATGCGATATAGTGTGGTTTGGCACAGGCGATTGACTTACCAGGCTTGTAACGGTGAGGCTTCTTGACACCTCCGGTGGAGGGAGCAGCCTTACGGGCGGCCTTAGAGGCGAGCTGCTTACGAGGGGCCTTGCCACCAGTGGACTTACCTGGATAGATGTTAGTGGTGATTCAAGACGCGATGTATTACTCAAGGGTGACGCGACCCGGACGCGGGGCGACGACACCACGAGAGAAAGGACAGTAAGGTTAGGACTTACGGGCAGTCTGCTTAGTTCTGGCCATCTTTATAGATAAGGTTTGATGGGTTTAGTCGACTTTGAGATGAAAATAGATAAAAGTCGATGGTTGTCGATGATAATGTGTTGGCGGATGAGGAGATGAAAGAAGGATGGAGGAGGCGGGTGGGGGAAGGTATTTGTAGTAAGCGAAGGGCGGGTGGTGATCTGATGGCGTTGGCAGCAATTTGGGTGGCCTTAGCGTCCTTTCCCTTTGATCAAAAAAGCGCTCGGAAAGCAGCACACCATAAGCCGTGATTTCGGGGGTCACTTTTTGCTGCAGAATCAAAGGGTTCCCTTGCGGGCGGTCAGGAATCCGCGCCCAAGGCAGGAATGAATAATGGTCCGTGCGTTAAGCGAATGACGGACCAATAGAATCGTAGGATCACAGACATAGCATGTCTCTCTGCCACCTCTTGATCCCAACCACCGGCGTGGTATGTGAATCAATTCAGTAAATCAGAATGATAGTTGGTATGCTCAGAAATGTCTCTGATCTTTTTTGATCCTTGATCTCAGTGGTTGAGAGGCATTCCGTGAGGATCAAAGTTGGTCGTAGCGGAATCATCACTTCTCGGTCACGTTGCCGACAGATCAAACCCGGCGGGAGGATCCTCGCTCCTGATTGGTCGATCCCCTGGCTAGCGCGTGATTCCAATGCCCTCCCCGCGCTCTTCCTTTTCCTATACAAATATCACCCGTCCCATGGCAGCTGTCCCAATCTTTCCTTTCCCATCTCTCTCTCATCTGTCATCCAATTAACAGCCTATCTCTCCACATTTCCTCACTCAACCTTAAACCAAGTTAACTCTTAGTCAATCATCAATATGTCTGGCCGTAAGTCTTTCCCCTGCAGCGAACATCAAAGACGCGATCAGGATCGATGATTAACGCGTATTCTCTACAATAGGTGGAAAGGGTGGAAAGGGTCTCGGAAAGGGTGGCGCCAAGCGTCACCGCAAGATCTTGCGTGACAACATCCAGGGTATCACCAAGCCCGCTATCCGTCGTCTCGCTCGTCGTGGTGGTGTCAAGCGTATCTCTGCCATGATCTACGAGGAGACCCGTGGTGTCCTCAAGACTTTCCTCGAGGGTGTCATCCGTGACGCTGTCACCTACACTGAGCACGCCAAGCGTAAGACCGTCACCTCTCTCGACGTTGTCTACGCCCTCAAGCGTCAAGGACGTAAGTTACCTCTACTGTTCATATTTTCCTCTATCGACGCGTGTCTAACATGGCCCATCAGGTACCCTCTACGGTTTCGGTGGTTAAATGCTTTCTTTTCTCGCCTTTTGTTTTTAGCCATCCTGCGCGGTCGGCGCGTCGGTTGTCCTTCCGCAGCAGTGACGCGACGGGTTGCTTTTTCGGGTTGGTTTACGGTATGACTGGGACGTTGGGGTGTTATTGATCTTTTACCATGGGTCTCTGGGTTTGCTTTTAACGTATTTTACTTTACTATTACGCGTCCACTACTGGGTCTGCTAGTGTTCGTGATTGAAATTTCTGTATCATAGCGGCCTTCATGCTATCGGCTGGTACCTCTAGAACCATCGCGTCATGAAAATGCGCGGTCTGGTATGAATACGAACGCTTGAAAAAAAGATGAAATAATTTTGTGCTTGCATGCGTGTTTGTAGCTGTCTGGCAAGTATTTGTTTTTGTGTGTGTTGTCCATTGTCGCGTGTTTGCTGTACGCGTCAGTAGTGTGTGTGTGGGACTGAGACTATGGGGCGACCTGTATCTTCGCGCTTCCTATATCCGACGATGTGTATGATGATAGCTAATTCTTAATCACTTTCGTTGCTCTGTTGTATCTATATGTAGCTTGCTCTGTAGCTTGTATCTAGATCCTTGACCATTCCGGGTGATTATGGGGTTTATGCGGTTGTACTTGGGGTCTTCATCACTCCCAGTGCGACTTCGATACGGGTTCCCCAGAATATGCAACGCGTAGAGTGATCTCGTGCTTGTAAGTTCTACTCTTATGACATATTAGTTGCAACTTGGCTGTGTGAGTATGTGAGCAATGGCTTGGGTATATCTGTTGTCGGTATATGGTATGGTGTACGTACAAGGAGTGGTACTGGTAGTATATATATCTACGCGCATAGCATTGATGTGCTTACAATCGAAGTACACTCCGACGAATAACCACCCAAGATTAAAGGGCAAGACAAGCATATAAAGTATGATAATTAGTAGTAAATTATAACATAAAGCCATTAGTTGATACAAAACCTACGTCACACATATAAGATCAATGAAGTCCTGCTTCGAAAGTGACGTTCGTCAAGAGCTCGACAGGAGCTCGGATCGGGTTGAACCCCTACCCGGGGTTCAACCCCCAGGCGAGGTTAGGCCTGCTGTTGGACACCAAACCATTTCAGGCACAATGGATCACGCTCCACCGTACATAAATACAGCCAGAACGCCCCCAAGCTACATCTTAATCCAAAAAGGGTCACACCGACTGGGCTTCCTGCGTCTGCTTCAGCCCCAACCCCCAGAACCATGTCATGGTCCCCGTTGGCTGGGACAAGCTCGTCAAGGTACGTATTAGACAGTTTCCATTCGATGTGTTCAAATGATGTTTTGTATAAAACGTATTTGCTACTTCAGAGCCTTACGGCCATGAGACCAACATTCACCTATACCCTGATGAACAATCAACACTCCAACGCCATATTCCTGCATCTGCGCATGAAAAAAGGGTGTACACAGCTAACCTGAGCTGTATTACTAGGTTTAGGAGCCCGCCTCCTGTCGCCTCCTGTCGCCTCCAGAGTCCAGACCGACCACATCAGTCACCCCGCTACATTATCGCCGTCACCACCTCAGCCTGATTGACCAAGAGACTTGGTCCGGGCTGACTCGTGCTGTACCATGATTAAGTGACATGCTTTTTTTTTTTTTTTTTTTTAATAACACCCGACTCGCGTTCGGAGTACATGCGGTCAGCCTCGACCCACCCAATGCACATAGGATGAGCAGTTAGACCAAGGGCCAAGAGAGACACCACGACACAGATATCCAGCCGAGAATGGGTGGGTTGCTCATCTGATGTCAGGCACTGATCCTCGCCGCTGAAATCATCGTACCGCGATCACCCACGAACGTAACGCGAAAATACACAGCCGCCACAACACCAGGGTACACGCGACGATGTAAAAACGCGTTGGATTACTCTGATCCTCACGCGTGCATATAAACCGAGATACCATTGCACTGGGAGGCGAAGGCGTAGAATGTCCACGGCATGATCCAAAAATTCCTAAGTAGCCGCCTCACCTGGGCCGAACCGACCACTAGTCAGATCGAGTGGACAAATCGATGGTAATGCGAGATCAGTAAAAAATTGCCCACACGCCTGTCAGTGGTATCCTCTTCTAGCCCATGTACACCGAAGCAGGTGCAGCTCGGTGCTATATTAGCCATGTATCCCATCACAAGCACCACGTCCAACAACACTATGATTGCCAGATCGACATAGAGCTGCTTAGTTGGAGTATCTGGCTTCTTCCGTCGAGTATAATACTGTCGAGCTGGGGAAGGATATGTTATGCAGCATGCATAAACCAGGGTAATTGATATGTTCGACATGTGGCTGTCTAGCCACCTCTATTGGCGGCCAACAACGCGCATATAATATTCGCGAAACCCGACCATGGGCGAACAACCTCCAATTCTCCTTCACATATCGCCCTCTAGAACGTCGGCGCTCGATGAAAATAGCCCCGCTTTGATTCTCGTTTTCTTATCTCGCACGCATTATACCTTGGAGGCTACACACACTGAGATGTTATCGCCCTGCGCCCAGTGGCATACGCAATACCTTGAACGTACTCTTCCCTCAGTATCGCATCGACGCATGCTTTGGCACCTTAGCTGTGGTTCCATCGTATTCGCCAGCCCTCACTGAGTTTCCGGATACTTCTCCTTTGCAATTGAGGACTCATTTACAAGCTCTGCAGAACATAGTTGAACCATGTGTGAGAGACTGAATACCACAGGTCTCGATATCCCGTGATAACTTTATAACATGCGCTGCTTCGCAATTCTCCACCAGCTATGCTGGCCGGCTCCCACCCCTTGTGCCATATCGTGGCCATGTGCAGTTCTCCTAAGATGCCAAGGTGTCCGCAAATAGCTGAATCTAGCCAAACCATCACATCCATGGAAAGTATATGACCAACGAAGGCGCTCTTATGGATAGACCATCGAGGCAGCTGTGCGAGGTCTTGTGCTGAGTTCGCGTGGTGACGTAGACAAATTGTAGGTGGGCTTGGCTAACTATCACTAACCACAGTGACAAGCACAAGGTGTTATGCCTGGAATTTACGAAATTTGCCATGTGCTAATGCACAACATACCCTCGAATGGCTTATCGGGTGCTTTGCACAGAATAAGTAACTGGTGGCACTTGAAGATATAACCTACTTATGGCCTCCACGTCCGGGTACTCCGTTCAACCTAGGCATTGGCAGCCTTCTGTTGTTCATTATAATAAATTAACACGACAAGGTCAGTGCCGACCTGGTACTAATACGTGTCTAGCTCATTCACCCTACATAGAGTCCATAATGTCAACTGGGGTGCTGTCGTTGGAGTTCAATTTACTATGACTCGAAGTACCCATGCTTAGAAACGGGCCAGCTAATAAAGGTGGCCTGGAGAGTAAGCAGTTCACGCAGCACCCGAAGGGAAACACACCAGCATAGAGAAATAGAAGTAACGGGAACAAGAGAATCAACGATGTAACCTCTGATTGCTGAACAGCCCGATTCGCACAAATGAGTCTGGTTCTCTTAAAGGCCGTCTCAATGCTACAATTTTGACACTAACGACTTTGCCAAGTTTGATATGTGTGACGCACAGATCTACAAGTAGTGGAACTACGCTCCCTGAAAGATGGAGATGTAGTTGTTGATCATTGTAACTGGCGCTAATGTCGGATCTAGGACTGTTCACTATGTCGTGTGAAAGGATGTCAACATTTTCATAGCATACCCAGGCCAGCTTGTCCATAATCGATATGGAGGCCTAGTGAAAGAGATGGGCTGTTGGCTTGGTAGGCTCGCCGAAGAGTGAGTGGTATTGGGCACTCCACAAAGGCTTTATTCAGTTCCCCATATGCAACTTGTCTTCTTCTAGAGTGTAGCGCGACCAATGTGGACGCTGCCATGCCTCTCAGAAATATACAGGGACTAGGACAATTCCGGCCGTCGTTCTGGTGGAGGGAAAGTGGGTCGCTTTCTATATGACGCAGGTCGAGGATCCGTGCAAACGTGATGACATGCTCGAGGGTCATTAAGCGCATGCAGAGTTGTCAATTTATAGCAGAGAGTGGGCACCGATGCCTGGAAAGAATTCGTGCCCATTGACTATGTCCCGTTATAACGCTCACACAATTCGACACAGTCTCTGACATTTCTATAGCATACGTTCTGGAAATGGGTGGCTCGGAGATTTATATCCTCAACCCATACATGCATGGGCACGTTGAACCTTGCGCCCATTTGTGGTGAAACCGAGACTTACCAAGGAATGGTAGTATTGGATAATAAGTGGCTAACATGTTCAATGCTTCAAGACCTCCGACACATGGAAGAGCTAATATAGATGCAGTCACTGCATGAGCTGCTCGTGGTCCCCGAGGTCGACCGGCATAGGAAGGCACCATGATAGATCGACCTTGAAGTGAAAAATTGTGGCGCAGCGGTGAAGCAGTCCTAGAGGTGCTAAATCTCTCATTGACGGTGAAAGGGCCTATACCTAGTCGCCCGGAGGAGTGGCTCGGCGAGAAACGTTTTTTCATCATGGCAGAATTGAAACAAGCCTTCCGACGCTCTTCGCCATCAATAATCAGGGATCGAGTGCTGAAGTCGGGTCCTCCGAATGACTGGCGTGGCTGATGGTTGTAGTTGGGTATGTAAAGAACTGCGAGGCTCTTTGACCGTTTGCCTAGGCTTCTGGAATAGCGGTTCAATCCCTATCCTAGCTACCTGAACGCCAAGCATTTGGGATCAAAGATAGTAGTGAGGCTGATTCGATCAGAGTTCGTTGCCATGAGTGCAACTACCGGGCAGCCCAGGAAACCTAAACGAAGCGACAGATAGATGACGAGTGTGTTGCTAATTCCTGGATCTGATACTGGAGGATGTCTCAATGATATATGTCTGATGGCACGGTGATCATCACAATGGCACCATGAGTGGTTACAAGTACACGCAGATAGATTCTACGTAGACACCCATATGCCTCGGTAACAGATT